CATAGCACATCATGGCATGAATGCATGACCTAGGAAGTCCTTCACCACTTGATAGGGAAGGAAAGAGAAAGAGATGAGGAGAAGCTGGAGCCCCAATATCTTTTTCCCTGTAAGACCTTGCACTAAGCCTCACCTCTTAAAGGTTTCCCCACTTCCCTTTAATACATGGACTGTTGGGGGGATATTTAAGATTTATACCACAGAAATACATATATCCACATTTATATATTTATATCTATATTAATATAGTTCAGGTTATAGGTATATAGATCAATGTAAGTATAGACACAGAGATAAAGAGATGCTGCATCGGATATAGTTGAATGTTTAGGTGTGAAATTTTAAAGTCTAATTGCAGAGAATTTAATTCATATCAATTTTGTTATAAATTAATTAAAATGTATGGCAGAGAGAGTCACTAGGCTAAGTGACTTGCTTTAAAGAGACTTGCTTTCTTCAAGCACTGTAGATTGCTATTTCTGTCATTACTGTAATAGAAACATCATAAAGTCCACAAAAGAGCAAGGCTATTTCAGATGGAAAAGATCCATAATAGAGTTGACAATTCTTTGGGACTTGAAAGTAGGGAGGATTTCAAAAATAAAATACATTTTTTTTTTCCAAAAAGGTGAATGCATGCCTTTTTAAAAGCTTATTATGGTGTCTGCCCAGAACTCTAGAACAGTGGTTCTCAACCTTGGCTGACCATTAACATCACCCCATGGAGTTATAAAAATAGACATTCCAGGGTCCCTGCCCTGAGATTATGATTTGATTGATCTCAGGAGAGCCTGATAATTTTTAGGAGTTCTCTGGGTAATTCTCACGAGCCTCCAAGGCTGAGATCCTCTGCATCAGACAGTCAAGAGACTGTGTGCTTGGGAAAAATGGTTGTTTTACAAAGCTGCTGTAAAGATCTCTTATTTATAAGACAATGTAACTCATGACACTTCATATTAATTTGATATAATCCTTTATATCCAGGGGAAATAAAATAAACTTACTGCTTTATGAAAATTATAAATAAAATGCCTATGCCAGTGTGTGGTACATCAGAGATGATGGAGACTAACATTTGTTGAGTAGCTTTT